ATATATATATATATATATATATATATATATATATATATATATATAATTATATATATATATATATGTATGTATGTATGTATGTATGTATGTATTTATGTATATATATATATATACGGTAAATACATATCAATTAATTAATGCAATATTATTAGAAGAAAAAATAAATTAATATATCCTAAATTCATATCAATTCGTCAATTTTTCTAATTTTCTTTTTCAGCTTTAATTTTTTTATATATCATAAATTCATATCAATTTGTCAATTTTTTAGTTTTATTTTTTTTAGTTTTCAGTTTTTTATATATAAAATTATAAATATATCATAAATTCAAATCAATTCACCACAATCAGATAAAGAACATATAGAACCATTAATTCATTCTATTTCCTAGCAATTAGCAAAGATTACAAATTAATAATTAATAATTAACCCTAGATTTTAAATCTAAAGAATGAAAAAATGAAAGAAAAAAATTACAAAATCGGAAACCTATATATGCGGAATACCCGAAGGCTGGTGGCTTGGCGTCCGGCGGCGTCCAGACTATGGCGGCGGCGGGTCTCTCTACTGGCAGTTTTCCGATTCGGCATCTGGACTCAGTCGACCTCGCCCTGGTTTCTCGCAACATGCATTAATATTTCTTTTTGGGCCTGGGAATAGCTTTAGCGTTTTGAAAAAGCTATCGACGGACAGCGTTTAGCGTTAGCGTTTTTAAAGTAATCTGCACCATTAAAATTTTAACCAAAATGCTAACTTTATTCCCAAACAGACTCTTTGTGTAGGATCGGAACTAATATATACATAGTATATTATTAAAGAAAAATTGGGCCTCTAAAATTCATGGGCCCGGCCCGGACGGACGGTTTGTCCTCCTATTAGGCAGGCTCTATATGTGTGTATGTATGTATGTGTGTGTGTGTGTGTGTGTGTGTATAGGATTGACTCCAGTAAGATTACACCTTATGGTGATATCACATGCTTCGGTGAGATGACGCAAAGCTCACCACACTACACTACAAAGCTCACCAATGGACAATGCAAAGCTTACCTAAAAATAAAGTAAAACTCACTACTTTCAACACCAAAAATCACCTTTTTTTAAATTTTGAAAATTAAAAATTAATAAAAAATAAAATAGCAACACCGGTCAACCACCGGTCAACCACCGGTCAACGGCGGTTGCCGGTGGCGAATTCCGGCAACCGGCGACGGAGCAGCGGCGGATTCCAGCGACCGGCGGCGGCAGGCGGCAAATTCCGGAGACCAGCGGTGGTGGATTCCGGCGACCAGCGGCGGTGGGCGGCGGTCCAAGGTCTTGGTCAACGGTTAGAGTCTAGTGAGCACCCCTTTCTTTGATTTTATTTGTTCAAAAAAAAATTCAAAGTGTTGAAAAATATGGTGAGCTTTACCTTACAGTTTGGTGAGCTTTGTAGTTGTCCTTGGTGAGCTTTGCAGTTGGCTGTGGTGAGCTTTGCATCATCTGACCGTAGCATGCCATCTCACCGTAAGGTGTCATCTCACTAGAGTCAATCCCTATATATTTATTTATTTATTTATATAATGATATAACATAAAAATGTATCACAGTTTTTATTTTTCCCAAAATATATATAAAAAATATCTAGATTCAAAGAAAAATTTAAAATGGATTAGGACTGAAACACCTAAAAATCCAGGCATTTTAACTCGATCCACCCCAATTTGTGGATGACATGCTCTTGAAAATATGAATTTAATTTTTTTCGATTAAAACAAGTGTTTGATGGGTATTTCTAACTAATACTCGGCCCGAACCCGACGAAAAGTGATAGGTCATAACATGACTGGTTACAATTTAAGTAATATTTGAGGTAGAGCGGAAAGTCGGGGAAATGATCGATCCGGTTTCCCCAAAATGGCCGGTCATATTTTTGCATGCTCATATTTTTGCAAGGTCACTACAGGAGATGGTCCAAGAGATAACTTTTCAAAAGGGCCCGATCCTATGTCGTCACTACTTATTTTTGCATGAACCCACCATATGTCATTTTACTTATTTTGGACTTATTTATTTACTTCCGCTTTTACTCTGCATTCATATCACACACGTTTCGGAAATAACTCCCTAGCATTTAATTCACCAATTAAACTCAACCGTTTCCACATTAAATAGACATTAATGCGTTTTCTCTACGGACGGTTCTCGGACCGCCCATGTAACCCTACCGGTCCGTTGGGTCGCGGGTGAACCGGGTCCACGGAAGGCGGGTGTTACAATTTGGTATCAAAGCGGTTCGGTTTTTGTGAAAAAAAACATATTGTGTCATCCTGGTCAAAGGGTTTTTTCAAAAAAAGAGTTCACAGCCGCATCTCCCATTACATCACTCCCAAGGAAAGGTACATTGTTATTATATTCACATGTATGTCATAATGTAATTAGTTCTCATTTAAGTTATTCCCATAGAGAATGAGTCAAGCAGCAGGCAACGATGGACAGGCTATCCCACATGGGGAGCCTGAGCACGTGAGCGTGCACACGGAAGCATCGAGCTTCACACCCCAGCAGGTCCCAGAGCAGGCAGCCCCAGGCGCGGGCCCTGTTCCGGAAGTCGTTCCCATCAATCAGCCGCAGTTCGCGGCTAACTTCATGAACTTCCTCCAGCAGTTGGCTGGCGCATATGTTCCACCGCCGCCACCACCGCCGCCACCAATGGCGGTGGTCACCATCGAGAAGCTCCGGAAGAATGGAGCTGAGGAATTCTTAGGCGACCAGATCGCCGACCCCATGATCGCTAAATGATGGTTTGATCGAATCGTTCGAGTTTTGGGAAACCTTAGGGTTCTACACGATCAGCGTGGCGACCTCGCAGTCGCATTACTCCTGGATTCCATCTACGACTTGTGGAAGCGCGTTGGAGCAGACGTCCCTGAGCCCGTGCAGTGGGCCGCATTCGATCGACTCTTCCATGAAGAGTACCTTCCAGAGCACTTCGTCGAGGCAAAGCGAGAGGAGTTCCTGAAGGTCACTCAAGGTGAACTCACACTATCGGAGTATCGTCAGAAGTTTGACGAGCTCGCGGGGTTTGGGCAAGACCTCGTCCCAACCATGGAGAAGCGGTGCAAGCGCTTTGTGGAGGGCCTACGCCCCGACTTATCAGCCCATTTGATCACTGCCCCTCGGGTTGACATCAACGCACTCTTCAAACATGCGTTGGACATGAATGCAGCCCTCATCAAGAAGGCCGAGTACGAGCAGGCCCAGACGACGCATCCTCGTCCACCTCCGTCTAGCTCAAGCAGCAAGGGGTCTCCCTCCGTGCCAAGCAGCTCGCACACAAGCAAGAAGACCAAGTCAACACATGCCCCGTCGCCAGTGCCTACACAGCAGAGCGGGAAGAACCCGAGTCAGAGTGGATACCGGTACTCGATCTGCACCCAATGCGGTCGAAGGCACCCCGGAGAGTGTTGGTTTACTCAAGGCTTATGCCTAGGGTGTGGTCAGGCCGGGCATTTCCGTAGCTCCAGCCCCAGCCGCCCAGCCCGCTCAGAGCCAAAGATCGGTAGCAGCGTCCAGCTAGCCCAAAAGGCCGACGCTGAGCGCGCAGTCTAGAGAGGCTCCAGCTCACACAAACGCAAAGCGCGGACGCACTGAGTAGTTCGCACATGACGTAATCATGGCGATCAATGACTAGGTAAATTTCAAGGACGAAATTTTTCTTAAGGGGTGGATAATTGCAACGCCCTACAACCCGGTCTATTAGAGTTGATTGTGTTAAATAATTGATTACTGTTCCGGTCCAGAGTTGGGGAAAATAAAAGTTCTTAGCAAAATTATTTGAACATGTCATTAAATTCGTTTTGGCGGTCAGATTCCAAAAACGCAAACGGATCTCAATTCAGACCCGTTCGGGGGGGGGAAAGCGCGTACCGTTCAGATCAGATTTTACATAACGGAGTAAATAAACATTTGTAACCCCCATGTCCCTTGGTTCGGCCCCCCCTCCACATCCATCATGGTCCATTCAGTAGCTTCTTTAATCCCTCCATTAAAACACAATATAATACAACCCCATCACTTCCCATCCACATCATTCTCACTTTTGTAACTTCCCCACCATTATTTCTTCATCAAGTCTCCATCATCATCCATCTTGCTCCTCCTTGTTCGGCCAGACCAGCAGCTAAGGAAGGTCTCCGACGAAGCTCCGGTGGGTGCACGGTTGAGGGAGAAGGAAGAGAAGAAGAACTAGACCGTTCGTGCGAAGCGTAGTCGTCATTCCTCGCGTCTTCGTAGTTCCAACGCATCATATAAAGGTGAGTAGTTGTCCGCTCTAATTCTAGAACATCAAGTTATAATCTATGTTGTTATATTCATAGGAATATCGTACGCAACCTACGTAGAATCTACGCATGTTCGTAGGTTAGCCATCAAAACAGTCATTATGTAGAAATCGTATATATTGGCCTAGGAATCCCTAGGAATATATTCATCAATGTTTACATTATTGTTCTAAAAAGAATCAAGGTGTTAAGTTTGCAAAACGGATCAAACCAGAGCCAAAGACAAAAAACTGTCTTCGGGACGGTCGACCGTCGCCATGGACGGTGGACCGTTTCCCTTGGTCGTCTGACGGACACCACCGTGACGGTCGACCGCCGGCCGTGACGGTGGACCGTTTGTGACCCAGACCCAGACCATAGCCCACGGTCGACCGTTCCGCGGGCAGTTTTTCGGATAGTTTGTAGAACGAGCCCCGTCGACCATATTGACTTAGAATCTGATTGTATGTTTGTATGAAATGTTAATCTTCATTATTACGTTATTTAATTGATATATTCTTGGCGTTGACCAAAGGTAAATATATCAAGCATTCATCATGTTCATCCTAGACGCATGTCCTAGGTTTATCATCATATGCATACCGCTGTAGGGAGGTCAGGCTTCCGTGCGCCTACTATAGTGGGCCCGCCCAGGAACCTTTGGGATCCAACGGGTTTTCATCAGGTGGGCTTTGTGTACGTACATGGTAGTCAGGCTATGGCTACCACCCAGTTTTGCTAGTTCACTTGCGACGTTTACGTCGAGCCCGGCTCATTACCGGAGTGCAGGGGTGATCCTGTCAAGTGAGACTAAGCCAGGGGTGTCCCTGATAGTTTAAGTCATGCATCAAGTCATATCGTCATCATGTGTGTTTTATGTCATGTCAACATTCAATGTGGTCGTCATCATCATGTATGTTCCACGTCACATCAACGTTGAATGTGGTTGTTATTCATTTTGTTATGTGTAATAATATCCCATCAAGTGCAAACTAATCAGTAAACATGTGGTTTTCCATACGTTAAAGTACAGGTATTAATATGTGTATAGCCAAATGGGTTATCACTTCATGTTCTCTTGTTAGATTCACTCCTCAGCTTTTGCTGAGCGTGTAGTTGTTTTTGCTACACGCAGGTAGACATGACGGTACGGGTGCTAATCCTGGAGGACAGTGATGATGGGAGGATGGGCGGCGCATTGACGAGTTCAATAATTAAATACATTTAATTAATTAATCCTTTGGGCATGAACCCACCATATGTCGTTTTACTTATTTTGGACTTATTTATTTACTTCCGCTTTTACTCTGCATTCATATCACACACGTTTTGGAAATAACTCCCTAGTATTTAATTCAGCAATTAAACTCAACCGTTTCCACAATAAATAGACATTAATGCGTTTTCTCTACGGACGGTTCTCGGACCGCCCATGTAACCCTACCGGTCCGTTGGGTCGCGGGTGAACCGGGTCCACGGAAGGCGGGTGTTACAATTTGTTGGTATGAGTAGTACTATCAATCCTTGTTGGTATGAGTAGTACTATCAATCCTTTTGAGCTCTTCCCATATCCATCTTGATACGGGGTATTACATGTTGATTGGTGCAAGGCCCGCACCTGAGTAAGGGCTTGTTACCTTAATTAACCCCCTCCACCCTATATAAATAGATTGTAAGAGGTGGAGGAGGGACACTCAATGATTAATACGCATATTTATACACTCTTGACACAGAGCAAAAAATACAAGTTCGGGCACAGGAATTCTTTCCTGATCTAGGTCACTCTTGTGTTACTGATAGGCGTGTCGTAGCACCTACAAATTAATTTATTATTTTCCTTAACTCTTAACCCCCTTTATGATTCAAAGTTCATCAAAACATATAGATAGGGCAAGCAAGGGTCGATCCCACGAGGAAAGATACTCTTTTAGCTATGAAAATCAGTTCACTTGTCACATTTATTGAATAAAAACTAACTAAAACTAAATAACTAAAACTAAAAGATATGGGGGGTTTGAATGATGATTCTAAAAAGATAAAAATGCAAATAAAATAAAGATAAAGGATAACAGATAAGAAATGGACCCACCACAGCAATTCGAACTCAGAATAACACTCAGGGAGAAAACAAACACACGAATAAACACACAATAAACTTTATAAAAACGTAGACAATAATATTTAACTTAAACCATTTTGAAAATACTTATAGTTTTTAATAGAAAATAAACTGAACAAATCTGATTAATTAATTAATTATGCCTTGATTCTGAAATTAAACTGCTAATTAAACTCTGGGTTAGGCTGAAGAAGAGGTCCACCAACGGTTCTTCCCTATTTTCCCATTCATATTAGCTCATGTTAAGACCAACCCTAACTCTAAACCCTACTACCCTTAGCAACCCAAAGACCAACCCTTAAGTTACTACTAAGAATAGCGCATTAAGATTTGTGGAAAACATCACCATAACAACTTTGCAGTAACACTACGGTTATTTAACAAAATCAGTTCGAGAACCTTGATTAGCAAAAACCACATAACGAGGCAGCAAGTACTAATCAAGTGACACTTAGTTTCTAGAAAAGTTCGGCTATTTAAAGCACTTTGGACTTTAAAAGAATATCAATTTAAATTGGATTAGGCTGCAGTCCTAATTTGGTCCAATTTAAGTAAAATCTGGTGAATAATAGTTCTCAGAACACCTTTTTGAGTTTAGATTTATCAGTAGCATAGAGCTAAAATCTCTTCAAAGACAAATTAATTCAACAAGAACAATTAAATCAAAGATTTAATCCTTTTTTGTCAAATAATTTGGCCTAAGAAGGTTTTATAATTCAGAGACTATAATCAATCAATAAATCATAACTTGAACAATTAAACATCAACACTTAAACAATTCATCACTTATATTATAACTTAAACATTTATCACAAAAATTGGAATAGAAAATAAATATGTTTAATATGGATGTTCAAATTCATCAATTGTAAATTAGTGAATTCAAGATCCTAATTTAAAAAAGAGTAAAGTAAAATACGGAGTAAAAAGAATAAACTGATGAACACTCCCCTGAGTCCTCTGCCTCTGCTCACTGTACGAAGCCAAGAAACCGCCGAGTTCAGCCGCACCGGACCTAGCCGCCGTCGGAATCACCATCGCCGGAATTCAAGCCACCATCGCGCCGCTGGACTGCCGGGCCTAGGGGTCGGAACCCTAGGCCGGCCCCCTGCTCTGCTCCCGATCTGTCTCTCGATCTCCCTCTAGAGTTGGGGTTGAAGGAGATGATTTTTCTTGTGGCTTTTGTCTCCTTTTATAATTGTGAAGTTTGGAATCTTCAATTTGGAGTAGGATTCTTGGAATTTGCGTTGGATTTGGGGAAGGACTCTGTTTCTTGCGCCTTCCGTTTGGAGTCTGCTCTCTTCTGCGCTGGTTTGCTTCCTCTTCTACGGTTCTTTCTTTTTCTTCCTCTTTTATTTATTTGCTTGCTTCAATAATTTGGTTGGGTCAAAAGGGTGGTGGATCAAATACATCTTTGGGCTTGGTCCTAACTTCATTCTTCTCCCATTGCTTTTGTTCCATAGGCCCAATTCCATTATCTTCCTTAGATCAGGACTCCAAATTAATTATCAAATATAAATATGCTCAAAATCATGCATTTTATGTATAAAATGTAAACAATGGCCTAAAATGCTAAATATTAGAAAATATGCTCATTTAGGTATAAAATGCATATTAAATATATTAAAACTACTAAAAAATGAAGGAATAAAATACGACGTTTTATGACTTAACAGTTACTTTTTCCTATGTTTGGCTTATCTGGTAGAGGCCGTTTGACCAGGTTGTATCCAGTCGAACCTACCCAGTCAAATTTACACCAACATTTGGCACCCACCGTGGGGCTCGTCTTGTGAAAAAGTTGACCAGTCACTTTTTGTTACCTCGTGAAATATCCACGACCATGTCTTCTAACACTCACCCAATCGTTTATGGCCTGATTGTATCAGAACTCAACACCCTTGCCGCTCCAATAACAATGATGAGTGTAAGGGCGACTTTCACCCCATTCACCTCTGTGGGATCCCCAGGGATGATGCCAATCATGTCAACCTCCACTCTCGTGCCCACCACATTCATGATATTTTCAAGCTCACTACTTGTGTCAAGGGGGGTGACGCCGCCTATGCTAATTCTGCCAACTATGTCTCCATTTGCAGTCGATCCGGCCAATGCACAGGCATTGCAAGGCTATCATCAAGTGATGGCAATGATGCAATAGGCACGGGTCTATACGCCATTTACCTACCCTGGCATGCTCGCGCTAAGGTTGAGTCTCATGTCAGTCTTAGGGACAAGCTCGTCAACCTTCATACCAAGGATGGCCAACTCTGTGAATCCTACGAACTTGGCTACGACCATGGTCAAGATTGGGCCCTCAAATGCCTTGGACACTTCCTGGAGTCGTGATGTTGCGGATCCGGATGAAGCGCGCATAAGGAAGGGGATGGTCATTGCAAAACCAAACAAGACTCTGGGTTCGGTGTTCAAATGTCTCGGAGACAAGGAGGATGGACCCTGCAAGTCGGCCAAGTTACGTCTCGGACCTAAGATGGCTCGAGCTAGCGCCTTCGATCAACTTAGCAGGGGAAGGGATGGACAACCCACCCCATCACGACGCTCCAGGGACGCGGAGATCGGCCATCCACCTCGATGAGGAGGAAGCCAAGAGTCTACCCCGGCAGTCAGCATACACATGTTGTCATACGAAGATCTAGAGGGAGATTTTGATAAGATTAGGAGTGTGGTATGAAAGTTGCAAGCTCTATAGGACTAGGTGGATGAAACGAGTGGAAGGAAGAATCATACTCAGGCGAAAATCTCCCTTCCCGTCACGGGTCCACGCACATAGGCTTAGACAAAAGGTCAAGCGTGACATGCAAAAATTTACATGGAAAGAAGATCCGGGCGTCCATTACGATACCTTCAACAATGCCACGCAGATGGAAGGGTGTACCAATGCAAAGGAGTGCCTCCTATTTTTCTCGTCCCAACAAGGAAGGCCGGTGGAGTGGTTCAATACCCCCCCCCCTCGGAAAAATCAATTCTTTTAAAGGGATAGCGGAATTTTTCTACAATAAATACCAGGATAATGATGTGAAAAGGAAAAAGTTCGCCTTCCTTTACACGATAGGATAGTAGAGGAGTCTTTGACACAGTTCATCACCAATTTGGAGGGAGGAGGTCAAAAAAGTAGAAGCAGTGGATGATAAAACAGCCATGTCACTCCTAATGGATGCTTTTCGGGCAGGAGATCTATACATCAAGTTCTGCAAGAGGCCACCCTCCCCCTACCAGGAAGTCTACAACATCGCTTGGGACTATGCAAAGGTAGAGAACTTGAACCGAAGCAAACGGGAGTTGGAGGAGGGCTATGCTAAGACCAAGTCTGACAAGGTCAAGAAAGAAGATCAGGTGGTGTCGTCAAGGCCAAAGGATACTTATGACGGGACGGTGCACCGAATCTTAGAGGAGCAAAAAGGACACTAGGCAAAGAGGCATTGGACAAAAAAGTGGTACACCTATCACTAGTCAGACTCCCACAACACAGGTGATTGCAGGAACGTGAAGACTGTGCTCAAAGAGATGCCCTTGAAGGGGCATCTCAGGGGAGAATTTACCGCAGGGGCCAAGAAGGACCCAAATGCAAACACGTGAACCATCCAAAGGAGAAAGTCCAGGCGAAGAAGAAAGGAGGTGAAAATGGCGAAATAGAATTCATCAAGATGATTGTGGGGGGGGGGGGGACAGAGGACGGAGATACGACCTCTCAGCCAACATGTGTATGTTGTAACACCCTGAAAACCGGCTTAGTAGTGAGCCCTTATTTTAATGAAAAAAAATAAATAAATATACTATTTATTGACTCCAAATATGAATTATTTATAAGATTGACCATTTTAATAAAAAAAAAATTAGGTTTTCGGATAGGTCTCGAGAAAAGGCGACCAACGGCATATACTTTGTCAAGTTTGGAATTTCGTGTGAACCGTGGTGAGGGAAATAGTCAATAAAGTTCAATGAATTAATGTAAATAGATTTAATAATATAATAATAACACTAATAAATAAGGGGAAGAAACCATTTCCGTTACAATTAGGAATGGTGGCATATATACGGCCCTCCTCATGTCTTCATCTTCTTCGCACGCAACTTCCGTACAGAGGAGGAGTCGCTGGAAAGCTTCGCCGGAACCAATTGAGGTGAGTGGATTATCTCTCGTTAGAATTGATTCGTAGATTAGGATTTGTTAATATGTCTTCGTCCAATTGACGTTGAATTTGTGAATATGATTGTTGAATGGTGTGAACAAATATGTTAAATTGAATTTGGGGTTTGGAATTGGGGATGCTCTGTTATGATATTTTCTTCGTTCTTTTCTGCTCTGTTCCTGTTCTGTTCGGTCGGCCTCTTCACCTTCCCTCATCTGTTCGGATCTTCTTCTCGCCCATGGAGTATGCGTCGTTGTTGTTGTGTTGTTCCGGGAGGCTATTGCCGCTGCAGTTTCCGGCGAGAGAGGAAAGGTCGATGGTGAAGCCGCCGACAAGGGAGGACGCGCCGCTCGTTCTGCCGCCATGGTGCACTACTCCGTTCCTTCGTCGACCTATCGTTGCTGGGGTCTTCTTCCATTTGCCACCGACCTTCGCTGAACGGAGATGCCGGAATTCGGCGATGGTCACGGTCCAAAGTTCTTCGATGCCTGGGAAATTCATGATTCTTACTAAATTGGCCCCTGAATTTCCTTTTTAGTTATAGTTTGACCCCACGCTAACTTTGACTATACGGTTGGGCAGTGACCAAAGTTTGAACTAAATTTATTGGACTAATTTGTTTGCGATAAGTATTTGATGGACTGGAATTGTGAATTAGGCCAACTAAGGTGTATCTGAATTGAATTAAAAAAAATTTGAGACACTTGTAGGATGGAGAACTATGAACATAAGGTCATGCAGGTGTCGGCGTACACCTGATGGTCTCCAGGGTTAAAGCGTACGTACGGGAGTCTGTGACCTGCCTCGGCACCTCCGTGGTAGGGGCTCCAACCCGCCCAATTGGACACCTTCCATTGGGTTTACAAGCTTGGCCTCTTGGACATCTTTCCAAGAGTGTCTATGACTAGTGTGTTTAGTTAGACTTTAGTCGAATATGTTAAGTGTTGTAACAAAACACAAGAATATGAAACGAACGGACGTAGGAACGAATGAACGACGGATTATACTATTTGGTATTGTTATTTCTGATTCTTCTGATATTGTATGACTATATGTTAATGGGTGCTAGTCTATGAGTTGGTTCTAGCGTTGGATACTTCCACTCTCCCTATTTTTACAGGTAGGGGCCAAGGATTAGATGAGGAGCAGCCCGGAGGACAGTGAAGCCTGACACTGATGGATGGGCCGAAGCTGCCTGAAATTGAATTGAATACTTGTTGACTTTTATTTTGTTAAACTACAAGAATGTTGACGACATTATTTTAAAGGCTTCCGCAATGTTTGAATTATTTACTCTGATTATTTATGAATTGTTTTTAAATAAATGTGAATTGATATTTTATTATTAAATGTTTTAAAATATTATGCATGTGAGTACCGAATTAGTAACAACCCGATTCGCTAACTCGTTGATTCGGGTTACGCGGGTTGGGGTGTTACATATGTGGTGTCGGTAGAGCCACACATCAAACAGGTGAAGAGGGAGCCCATCACTTTCCGTGATAGGGACCTGCCTAGGAGTGGAGAAGATCATAATGACCCCTTAGTCATTACAATGGACATCAATTGTGCGGACATAGAAAGAATTTTGGTTGACACAAGGAGCAGTGTCAACGTCTTATACTTGGACACTTTCAAGAAATTGAAGCTTGATTGATCGAGGCTGAAACCATTACGAACACCTTTGTCAGGCTTCACTGGAGCATCGATCAAAGCTGAAGGGCAGGTAACCCTACCTGTGCAGCTACGGTCATGGGACAAGGCGGTGACCAAACAAATGAGATTTGTGGTAGTTGATATCAAATACGTGCACAATGCAATTCAAGGAAGGCCTAGGATTAACCAGGTCAGAGCTATCATTTCCATGACACACCTGTGCATGAAGTTTCACACGCCTAACTGTAACACCCGCCCTCCGCGGACCCGGTTCACCCACGACCCAACGGACCGGTAGGGTTACATGGGTGGTCCGAGAACCGTCCGTAACAAAAGCATTAATGAGTATTCAATAAGAAAACGGTTACGTTTGATTAATGGGATATTAATGACTATTTATTATGAAAACGTTTGTTTTACTTGGTGAAATAAATGTTAGGAGTTATTCCCAAAAACGTGCCTGATATAAATGTAGAGTAAAAGCGGAAGTAAATAAACGAGTAAAACAACAAATGGTGGGTTCAAGCCCAAATGATTAATTAATTCAAATGAATATAATTATTAAACTCGTCCATGCGCCGCCCGTCTTCCCACCATCACTGTCCTCCAGGGTTAGCACCTGTACCGTCCTGTCTACCTGCGTGTAGCAAAAACAACTACACGCTCAGCATAAGCTGAGGAGTGAATCTAACAAAAGAACATTAAGTGACAACCCATATGGCCATACACATATTAATACTTGTACCTAACGTACGAAAAACCACATGTTTACTAACTGATTAATTTGCACTTGATGGGATATTTTTACACATAACAAAATAAATAACAACCACATTGAATGTTGGTGTGATGTGGAACATACATGATGATGACGACCACATTGAATGTTGACGTGACATGAAACATACGTGATGACTATATGACTTGATGCATGACTTATGCGATTAGGGACACCCCTGACTTAGTCTCACTTGACATGATCACCCCTGCACTCCGGTAATAAGCCGGGCTCGACAAACGTCGCATGTGAACTAGCAAAAATCGGGTGGTAGTCGTAGCCTGACTACCATGTACGTACACAAAGCCCACTTGTTGAAAACTCGTTGGATCCCAAAGGTTCCTGGACGGGGCCGTTGTAGTAGGCGCACGGAAGCCTGACCTCCCTACAGCGGTATGCTCATGATGATAAACCTAGGACGTGCGTCTAGGATGGACATGATGAATACATGTGTCTAAATTGAACATGATGAATGCTTGATGTATTTACCTTTGGTCAACGCCAAGAATATATCAATTGAATAACACACATAATGAATATTAACATTTCATGCAAACACACAATCATATTCTGAGTCAAACTAGTCAAATGGGGCTCGTTCTACAAACTGCCCGAAATTCTGCCTGCGTAACGGTCGACCGTGCCCTACCGGCGGTCGACCGTGGGCTACACTATGGAGGTCTGGATGGCCGACGGTCCACCGTGGTCTTCCGTCGTGGCCGGCGGTCGACCGTCACGGTGGTGACCGTCGGACTGGCCATGGGAACGGTCCACCGTCCGTAGCGGCGGTCGACCGTCCCGATGACAGTCTTCTGTCTTTGGCTCCGTTTTTATCCTTTTTGCAAACTTAACACCTTGATTCTTTTTAGAACAATATTGTAAACATTGGTAAACATATTCCTAGTGATTCCTAGGCCAATATATACAAGTTTTACGTAGTGAACGTTTTGATGGCTAGCCTACGAACATGCATTAATTCTACGTAGGTTGTGTACGATATTTCTATGAATATAACAACATAGATTATAACTTGATGTTCTGGAATTAGAGGGGAAAACTACTCACCTCTAAATGATGGGGTTGATGAAACAGAAACGAAATGAACGGATGATGGTAACGAATGGACCAACGAACGAACGAACGATCAGCTTCTCGCGTGAACTTCCTTCTCTTCCACCTCCTCGCCTACTCTCCGGAATCCCTCCTTGAGCTGTTGTGGGTTGGCCGAAATTGCACAAAGGGAAGGGGGAAAGGAGATGATGTGAGTGGGAGTTACCAAAATGTGAGGGAGGTGAAGGAAATGAAGAGGGAGTTGATATATATTGATGATGGAGTAATGAGTGTTAATGGTGAATTAAAATGTGGAAAATGAATGGTGAGGGAAGGTGTAGTGGCGTGAGTTTCTTGAAGGAATTAAATGGGGAGTTATCTCCCTAAACTCTACTCTGTGGTGTGAAATCTGACCTGAACGGTACACGGTTTTTTTCCCGAACGGGTCCGAATTGGAAACCGTTTACGTTTTTGGAATCAAACAGTCAAAACAAATTTAATGACGTGTTCAAATAATTTTTCTAAGAACTTTATTTTCAAACTTCCGGGTCCACCCCAATCATTAATTAATTCATTTAATTAATGTTCAGAGGTCCGTTATTAAAACACATCTTTTTATTAAAATACATTAGTTTTTGGAAAGCCATTTAAAGAGATCGAAATCTCAATATTTATTAATTTAAAATAATGAGTCTCAATAAACAAATAATATTTATTTATTTAAAATATTGGCTCGCTAATAGGCCGGTTTGGAGGGCGTTACAATTATCTCCCCCTTAAAGGAATTTCGTCCCTGAAATTCTCCTCAAGTCACACATCACGTGTTTAAGGAGATAGTGCGTTACCCAAAACTTTATTTTGTGAAGCATACAAGGGCATAATGGATTAAAGACCAATTGACGAATTCATTCAAGAAACATATTTGGTTTAGATAGGTGGGACGAAATGTTGCATTGATTACGGCTTCGACCATGTCATCAGTTAGCAGGCAACCCACTCCCACCCGTCTGGTCGGGCTGAGTCCACTGAAGGATTATCCCCACCTGGGACGCAGATACTATTAGCAGAGTCCACACTGAACGTTTCCTCTGGATCATCTCTTTCCCATGCTGCCTTTTGGCGTTTCCAGATTCTTAGCTTTGCTATCCGAGCCTTGCGGTGTGCACGTTGATAGCGCTCTTTTGATTCGTAACTTTGCCTCTTGTTCTTTCGTCTCTTACTGAGCACGAAGGTTCGACTGGGGTGAACGCTTGACACGCTTCCGGTACTGATGGTACTCATCTAACAATCGTAGAGTATCAAAATGAGAACAAGTGAGCGTATAACGCAATTAGTATGACGCTTCGATGTGTGCTCACGTGCTCAGGCTCCCCATGCGGGACAGCCTGTCTATCATTGCCTGCTGCTTGGCTCATTCTTTATGGGAATAACTTAAATGAGAACTAATTACAATATGATATACATGTGAATAAAATAATGGTGTACCTTTCCCTGGGAGTGATGTGATGGGAGATGCGGTTGCGGACTTTTTGAAAATACCTTTTGAACAAGATGACAAATTATGTTTTTTTTCCTTGTTTTTTTTCCACAAAAACCGAACTGCTCTGATACCAAATTGTAACACCCGCCCTCCGCGGACCCGGTTCACCCGCGACCCAATGGACCGGTAGGGTTACATAGGCGGTCCGAGAACCGTCCGTTACAAAAGCATTAATGATTATTCAATAAGAAAACGGTTATGTTTGATTAATGGGATATTAATGACTATTTATTATGAAAACGTTTGTTTTACTTGGTGAAATAAATGTTAGGAGTTATTCCCAAAAACGTGACTGATATAAACGAAGAGTAAAAGCGGAAGTAAATAAACAAGTAAAACGACAAATGGTGGGTTCAAGCCCAAATGATTAATTAATTCAAATGATTATAATTATTAAACTCGTCCATGCGCCGCCCATCTTCCCACCATCACTGTCCTCCAGGGTTAGCACCTGTACCGTCCTGTCTACCTACGTGTAGCAAAAACAACTACACGCTCAGCATAAGCTGAGGAGTGAATCTAACAAAAGAACATTAAGTGACAACCCATATGGCCATACACATATTAATACATGTACCTAACGTACGAAAAACCACATGTTTACTAACTGATTAATTTGCACTTGATGAGATATTTTTACACATAACAAAATAAATAACAACCACATTGAATGTTGGTGTGATGTGGAACATACATGATGATGACGACCACATTGAATGTTGACGTGACATGGAACATACGTGATGACTATATGACTTGATCCATGACTTATGCGATTAGGGACACCCCTGACTTAGTCTCACTTGACATGATCACCCCTGCACTCCGGTAATAAGCCGGGCTCGACAAACGTCGCAAGTGAACTAGCAAAAATCGGGTGGTAGCCGTAGCCTGACTACCATGTACGTACACAAAGCCCACTTGTTGAAAACCCGTTGGATCCCAAAGGTTCCTGGACGGGACCACTGTAGTAGGCGCACGGAAGCCTGACCTCCCTATAGCGGTATGCTCATGATGATAAACCTAGGACGTGCGTCTAGGATGGACATGATGAATACATGTGTCTAAATTGAACATGATGAATGCTTGATGTATTTACCTTTGGTCAATGCCAAGAATATATCAATTGAATAACACACATAATGAATATTAACATTTCATGCAAACACACAATCATATTCTGAGTCAAACTAGTCAAATGGGGCTCGTTCTACAAACTGCCCGAAATTCTGCCTGCGTAACGGTCGACCGTGCCCTACCGGCGGTCGACCGTGGGCTACACTATGGAGGTCTGGATGGCCGACGGCCCACCGTGGTCTTCCGTCGTGGCCGGCGGTCGACCGTCACGGTGGTGACCGTCGGAGTGGCCATGGGAACGGTCCACCGTCCGTAGCGGCGGTCGACCGTCCCGATGACAGTCTTCTGTCTTTGGCTCCGTTTTTATCCTTTTTGCAAACTTAACACCTTGATTCTTTTTAGAACAATAATGTAAACATTGGTAAACATATTCCTAGTGATTCCTAGGCCAATATATACAAGTTTTATGTAGTGAACGTTTTGATGGCTAGCCTACAAACATGCATTAATTCTACGTAGGTTGCGTACGATATTTCTATGAATATAACAACATAGATTATAACTTGATGTTATGGAATTAGAGGGGACAACTACTCACCTCTAAATGATGGGGTTGATGAAACAGAAACGAAATGAACGGATGATGGTAACGAATGGACCAACGAACGAACGAACGATCGGCTTCTCGCGTGAACTTCCTGAAAAGGTGGTCAAATTTTATTGATAGTCAAAGGACTGAGATTGTCATGGTACTGACCAGGTATAATTCTTTATTTGCTTGGAGTGTGGCAGATATGTCAGGGATAGACCAGTCGGTGATATGTAATCTGCTATCAATCCTTGATTTCACCCGGTGAGACAAAATAAAAGGTTTTTGGAAAGCGAAAGGAGAGACTTTGTGAATGAGGTCAAGGACCTACTTGGAGTGGGTCATATGAGGAACGTAAATTACCCTGAATGGCTGGCCAAAATTGTTTTGGCCCCCAAGAGGGATACATGGAGGATGTGTGTAGACTACACTGATCTCAATAAGGCATGCCCGATGGATTCATACTCCCTCCCCAGCCCTGATTAGATAGTAGATGAGACGGCGGGGTGTGAATTGTTTAGCTTCATGGATGCCTTAAAACGGTATCACATAGCGGAAAATGATGATGAGAAGACGGACTTCCTTGCCTCGACGAGACTTACTGATATTGGGTCATGGTCGTGGATTGAAAAACTCAGGGGCAACTTATGAGACGATGGTCAACAAGTTATTCAGGCCATTATTGGGACGAATCATGAAAGCATATGTTGATGACATATTGGTGAAGAGTAGAGGAGAAAATACCCATGCGGAGGATCTGGAGTAGTGCTTTGAGATCATGACCATATATAATTTAAAGCTTAACCCCAAAACGTGCATCTTCGCAGTGAGGATACGAAAGTTTCTTGGGTTTATGGTCACCAAGAGTGGGATTGAGCCAAAACATGAAAATATTCGAGCTATTGTGGAGATGCAACCCTGACTTCAGTCTGGGACGTGCAAAAACTGACAGACCGTCTGGCAGCACTAAACCGATATCTATCTAGAATAGCTCAAAGGGCCTTGCCTTTCTTCAAAGTTTTGAAGAAGGTCAACACCTTTGATAGAGTGATGAATGCACGCAAGCATTCGAGGAGTAGAAGACATACTTGGCATCGAATATTGTCCTATCCAAGCCTGAGGCAAAAGAAACATCTCAACTATACCTTGGGTAACCTAGCTCGTGGTCAGCCTCGTGTTGATAAGGGGCGATGGGGTTCAGAGCCTCATATGCTATGTAAGCAAGGCCCTAAATGGGGTAGAAAGCCAGTACACCTCAATTGAAAAAGCTGGGTATACACTTTTCATAACAGCGAAAAACCTCACCTCTCACTTTCAAGCCCATACCATTGTTGTTTTGACGAATCTGCCACTAGGTATGGTGATGAGGGATTCCACATCCTTGGGCAAGATGATTAAATGGGCCATGATGTTGACAAAGTTCAACATTGAGTACCGCCCACGGACTACAATAAAATGTCAGGTTGTTACTGACTTCCTCGTAGAGATAATGGATGGGTCACCACGACGAGGAACCAACCAGGACGACCACCAAACCATGGTGGACAATTTTAGTGGATGGGGCTTATAGGCCGAAGGGCTGCGGATGGGCATGGTTTTTACTACCCGTGAAGGCTCTAAGATATATCATGCCCTGATCATCAATTTTAAACTTACAAATAATAAGGCCGGACATGAAGCTTTGGTGGGCGGTCTGAGATTGGACAAAACCCTACAAATCACATGCTTGAGAATACAGTCAAATTCAAACCTAATTTTTGGCCATTTAAATGGCAACATAAGATGTAGAAGTACAGGGATCTTGCAATGACCTTATTGCGGGCACTACAAGAAACATTGTAATTTGCTGCACTTATTTTGCCACACATAACTATATGTGGTAAATATATTATGTGTATTTAGCTTTGCCACATTTATTTGTGTTGCCATCAAAAAGCTAACCCAAATTAAACCATACGCAAATATCTAACCACATACGTACATAACCCAAAATCTATCCCATTCCCAATCCCTTCACAAAGAGACCATCCATACTCCGTCGTATACTCGTATCACCATCAGATTTCACTACGCATCGATTCTTCATCTTCCCTTACGCATCGATTCTTCATCTTCGATCCTTCAGACGCTTTGATTCTTCATCTTAATCCAGATGCGAGAACCGGGAGGGAGACGACGTAGGGGCTAGCCTTTGTAACCCTAGGTTGCGACCTTGAATCTCCGATCCAGATGCATAGTAGCAAGTAGATGTGAGAATCTGGTGACGCCGAGTGACAAAAATAAAGTCAAATCCAGGTTACAAGAGTATTTTTCAAGAGTATGATTGATTTGTAGCTATTTTTCAGTTTCACTAGTACAAAAATTAGCAAAAAGACTACCAAAATTGATTCGGTTTTTAGGGCTTTTAACTCTCTTGAGTTGGATTTCTAATTCATTGCACAAGTGTTGGGTCCCCTTTAAATCCATGGGTTGTGCAATAATGTTCGCGTTCTTGGTGTACTTTGTTGTTGTTTGTGTTCTTGTATGTTGTTTTGATATGTTGATGTTGTTTTGATGCTTAATGAGTTGTAATTTGGATATAAAATATATCCTTTATGAGCTATGAGTTGTTGTAATTTGCTCTCTTTCCTTGTACAGGTCCATGATATGCAATGTCTCATCAAGTAGGGAATGGATTCCAGGAAGAATTTGGATGTGAGCTAAACACACTTTTTTTCAGGTTTGTGATTCTGGATATTATAGTTTCTTTCCTTTTTTATTTTCTCCAATAACTTTTACTCTTCTTGTATTTCTCGTTTGCTAAATTTACATGAGTTTGGGGTTGATTACTTGTTTTATTGAATTTGTTTTGAGTCAATGAGTTTGACTTATTCGAGTGTAGCATTTGATGATTCATTTACATGTTAGTATTTACTTAGGAATCAATATTATTTCAAGATGCCCTAAAAGTAACCTTTTTTCTATGATGATTGTAAACATAAAATAAGTTGGAATATTTTACATTAAATGTTCTTTACTCGCTAGGTGTTACGTGTTGGTATCCCCACCTGTTAGTTTTTGACTCATACTTTGGAATATGAAATTGAATAATTCAAGAGGGTGGCTCAAGAGGTTCAAGGGAATCTATTAGTGGTCAGGTAAGTATCTTAATTTTAAATGAATGCCTAATGTTTCTGCTTGTCCCATACACAGTAGGTTTTAGTGTTGCCTTTGCCAATTTTATTGGTTATCATAGTTGCACTTTAATGACTTCTTGTCTATTAATTTTTTAAAAATATAAGTTACTGTTTGTGCTTTTTATCCATCTTACTATGATCCAATGTTGGATGCATGATGCATTCGTGTTGTGGGACACATTTGGCTTCCCCTTCGATCTAACTCAAGTGCCTGATGAATGACTTCGTTCATCTCTTTCGTTTACTATATACACAGTACTTTGGACCACAAAATGGATGACTTTTTTCTTGATTTTTGCATTTGCAGTTGATGGCAGAAGAAAAAGGCTTGGTGGTTGACATTGAAGGCTTCAATGTTGCAATGAATGCGGCCCGAGAGCAATCTAGAAATGCACAAAATAAGGTTTTGTTTGATTTTTATATCTTGGTCTTTCAAAGAATAAACACTACTAACATGTTATTCAGTATTCCTTTCCCCGTATTTTCTTCTTTTAATGCATGGTCTTAGGTCTTGGAAATAAAAAACTACATGCGGAAAGCTTGATATATTTGTTAATGAGGTTTTGAGAGTCTGTAGTTGTTCACAGTACATTGTGGTTTTGAGAGTTTGCAGTTGTTCGCAATAGTCATGTTCTTAAGAAATAGTCGTAGGTTTTTGCTCAGGTTTTTTCTGCCTATGGTTGAAGTTTTGGTAATGATTTTTGGCAGGTCGCAGTATATCAGCTTCATGGCTGCTACTAGTGGAAGAATAAAGGTTTATGGCAGGTTGGTTCATGCTTTGGAAATGGTTTCTATTACCTTCAGCAGATGAAAAAGAATCAATTTGCTACAGACTGTTTGCGGCTTGAATTGATCTTAGGGCTGAGAGAGCTTCCACAAATATCAGGTTTTTTTGAGTCTGATTGGTTTTTTTTTCACAAAACACTTTGAAGTGGTGTATTAACAGTCTTGAGCATGACTTTACATGCTTGGTCTTCCTTTTCATCTTTTCTGGTTTACGAAGATCATGGGTTCTGATCCATAGGTCTAGCTTTTGCTTGTTTTGGTTTTAGCTCTAGATTTTTCTTAAGGTACTGGTTCCTTTGTTTTGGTTTTTAGTATTTTACAAGCCTCTACAAATATGTGGTTTCTCCCATTAACAGGTCCCGGGTAATGATCAACAGGATGTTAACTCTATTTTTTGTGTTAAAAAGACGGGGAAGAAGATGATTGATAAGGGGAAAACCAGAAGCAATGACTTTACTTTCAGAATCAGTTCAAGGATCTTCTATCTTCAAATCTTACCATAACAATACAGAAAGGGGAAGAAGAAAATGTTTTAGATATTGGTTAGACATTGAATCAAACTTGTGGGTTTGAAGCTGCTTCGCGGTCAGAATTCATCACTTTCAATCTTAGGGATTGCTTCCTTTGCTGAACACTGGTATTTGCGCTGGATTCCACCTACATCCTGCCTCTTGGTTATGGATTTACTTTTCATTGGGGTTTTCAATATTGATTATGTAATTTTATTTAGGCCCCATTTAGTAGCTTGGTAACTACTGTTTTTTTGGAGGGGGGCTTTGGTTTGGTCCTCCCCTCCCTATTGTACCTCTCTCATTTTTGTAATAAAACTTTTTTTATATTAAATTAGTTTGTCATTTAATTTAGAAGTTAGCTAGTTACGTGATCATTATTTGTCATACTGTTATGTATGCACATAGATATTTTATTAATTTTTAAAGAACTAATATTCTCCGCACTTATATTTGTGTTAAATTAAGAACACATACAAGTGTTGCAAAATAATTTATTAGCCGCATATATAAGTGTTGCTAATGTATTCATTAGCCACACTTATCCAAAAGTGCGGCAAAAATTTCCCCACATTTACGTAGCCGCACTTAGGGTTTGTGTGGCAAACTATTTTTTCCACATTTATAAGTGTGGCGAACAACAATTTTAAATCCCATGCAAAATTCTACCGTCTCCAACCCTTGTTCTAACCCCATAAATCCCATGCAAATCCAAAACCCATCCACGTCTACGTCCATAATACCCATGCAAATCCCTTCCCAAAACCCTCCCCATGAAACCCCTGCCAATCCCATGCAATTTCCCACCCCAGCAAAACCCCTGCCAAACCCAACTCAAAACCCCACCGAAAATCCCATGCAGAACTCTCCCATGCAACAGGCTCCAAGACCAAACCCCCCCTCCCTTCCTTTATTTCAATGCTCTCTCAAATCCCCTAGTCCTGCAAGAAACTTCATCTCCGAGGCTGTAGCTTCTTATAAGTCGGGGGCGCTATCCCAAGCTGCCCTCCTAAAAATCTTGCATGACGGCTCGACTTCTAAAGTGGTATCACCTGCACTTCCGCCGGAGGACCCCACGGGATATTCCTCAGAGCTGGAAGGAAAGGTTGGTTTCAAGGATTTAGAGGACGTGGAGAATGAAGGAAAAGCCAATGATGATAAGGTGCCTGACTCGGCCCCTCCTATTCCTCGTGCTATTGACCGTTACGGGGAGATTCATTTCTACCCGGTTGATGAGCAAGGTTATATTATCCCGGTTACTAAGCACGATGAGGATTATCGTTCTATAAAAGTATTGAAGACGCGTGCTTTGGAGCTCATTAGTATTAATTGGGAGGCAGATTTTAAGAAGGTGGATTACGCACGCCACCTAGCGCTAAAAGAGGCCATGCGATGGGCTCGCCAGAAGATTTTAAAGAATCCCCCTGGATGATGATTTCTGGGGCCTTTGCTTTTCCTAGCCTTCGGGCCACATATTTTATTCCTCATGGACTTTTGTTCTCGCCTTTGGGCCTTTATTTTTTTGGACTTCTCTACTTTAGCATATTCGCCATCTTAATTTAATGGGTGAGTGGGAGTTATGTTCCCTTCCCCTTAGCTTTTATTTCATTTACTTTGCTTATTGGGTGAGTTGGAGACTTGTTCCCTCCACCCCTATCTTTATTTATGGGAATAAAACTGCTTTTTCTTTCCAAAAAAAAAAGTGTAGCAAAAAGCAACATTTCTTGTAATGGGGACTTGGAAGAGTATATGCTAGAGAAAATTCCCAGAGTTGAGAACAGTCATGTATACCTTCTGTCAAAATTGACAGAGGCTGCCCCCGAGCACGTTTCTATGTTGGTCATGGAAATCAACAAGCCCAATTCTGGCCTTATCAAGGCTGATGACATATGGATGGATGATCAGATGACCTACTATATGATCGAGAAGATGAGGACTGGTCACGAAAGGAGATTACGGGCATCGAGATTTCAGGTTCTGGATGGAAAGCTTTACAAGAGGGCACTTGGAGGCCCGTTACTAAGGTGTTTGACTAGATCAGAACCAAAGAGAGTAATTGCGGAGGTGCATGAGGGTGTATGTGTAGCCCACCAAATGTTCAGGACCTTAGAATAAAAGATAATCTTGATGGTTACTCTTAGACCACAATGAACCAAGACTACGAGAGATACGTTATGAAGTGCAATGATATACATTGGAGCTTTCCCCAAGGCCTAGGCTGGGAAGAAGTACGTCATGGTGACAATTGATTACTTCATGAAGTGGGTGGAAGCAGAGGCGTATGCCACCATCACGACTAAGAAATGCCAAAGGTTTGTTTAGAGGAACATTATTACCAAGTTTGGATCATCCCAGAGCATTGTAACGGACAATGTGCCACAATTCAGGAACCCTCGCTTCACAAAATACTTTGAGGAGTTTGGGATCACACATAACAGGGCGTCTGTGGCCTACCCATAGAGGAATAGTCAAGTGGAAAATGAAAATCGTATAACCTTTCATTATCAAGAACATATCTTGATATACTTTCAAATCGATGAAAGAAAGTCGAATACAATGAAACAAATACGAGACGATACTCGAATATCATTACCTATGAATACGAATTGATACAAAGGCTCATTAACGGTAATGAGAACTACCACGAAGTGAACGAGGAAATGTGTCGATGTAGGATCGATATTGATGAATTACTAAACAAGAATCAACAGTACTTCCTCACAAATGATGACAAATCACATGTTATGAAAATTCTCGACCAATAAAAGTCATTTGATCTTACTTACAAGTTATTACTGAACTATATGAACAATGTGAGGACTTAGAAGGTTATAATGTGACGTATGAAACAACCTCCAAATCTTCAACTATACTTACCGTGAACTTGATGATTCGAAGCTATAAATTCCATTGTAAGACTTTCAATAAAAGTAAAAATATCGTCAACCAACGTCGTGTAATTGAGGTTTGTGAATGAACGAAGTATGTACAATCATGTCAAGTATGCTCCAAAATAAGATGTTATATTCTACAAAGGAACCTTAGTTATTGCCGTTGCCTCCAAACGGGAATCTGCAAAAGGATCGTTGAATACCTTGCTTAAAATAAAGACTGTTAATCTCTCAAAGATAGAACGAATTTGATGACATCGACAGATTGAGAATAGATGTCCATATGGATAACAAAGTAATCATGATTTAACTGAATAAACATGACGCGGTCATGATTAATGAGAATACAACAAGATGTTGATCGTGGAGCCTTTGAAGAATTTTGAACATGAAATTCCTTTCAAGGGGGAAGAAATGGGGAGAAAGACCAAAGTAGGACTAAAACATTGAAAATATACCAAAATAGGACTTCCATGTTTTTATTCCCGAAATATGACTTACATTACCAAACATGGTCATATATATTACCAAGAAAGTATAGTAATTTGCACATGTACACTGCCACATTACCACAATGCAAAGTCACATTACCATAGTGCAAACTCTTATTCCGGGAAAAAAACATGAAAGTCCTATTTGGTACTTTTCTCTATGTTTCAGTCCTATTTAGGATGATTTCTAGAAGAAATGTCATGACGCCCCAAAACATACACTAAAATTTTTATTGAATTATTATTCAATTAAACAAGGCTTTGTGCTGAAATAAAATATGCTTTGATATCTCATAGAGATAAATCTAATATGTTAACTATTTGTGTGATCTTGATTGGGAACTAGAGTAGAGACCCAAATTAAGAATAAATAAAGCATTTTTTTATGATGTGAACTTTGAAATGATTTATTGAAATAAATCATGAGAATAAATAATATGCATTAAATATGAGAACATTTTTGAATCAAGGTCAATTAAATCAATTTTGACTTTGTCAAAGTCAAACATCAAAAAATAAAATGTCGGAAAAAGTATTACAAATAAATATATAAATTATGTCGTTGGATAGAGTTTGACTAACTGATTGCAACGGTGCAAACGGATTTCAATTCGAAGAAAGTTAGAAAAAAAGTGTACCCCGACTAGGGGTGGACACGGTACGGTTCCGGTTCTGGAACCGCCGGTTCCAGTACCGCCACCCCATGGCACCTGCACCGTGACCGGACCGGCCAGTTTCGGCCACCCCAAATTTATTTATTTTTTGCTTTTTTTTTTAAATTTTTAGAGTGTAAAATTATAAATTTGCAATTGTTAAAGGAAAGAATGAAAAAAAATCTAAAAATGTAGTTGTTATTTAAATATTGTAAAATACGTAATACACGAACTGAAGAACAACTACATTTAATATCCTGACGGTTCAAAAAAAGCGACGAGGTAAAGAACCGTAAAGAAACCCTTGAAGGAGCTTATATATCGCTCACCTAAAAAAACTAATTACATATTTACATTAACATTAAAAAAGTTTATAACTTATTCTTCAGAACTCGGACTTCCATCTGTGGTTACATTCATGTAATGCTCCGAATCGAGTTGGTACGATGACTCTTTAGCTCAACGTCTTGCCAAGAGCCAATTTTGGTTGCAAACAAGTGTTTCAAGAGATTCAACGTGAAGACAACTTCGGTAGTCGGTTAGAATGTTGCCGCCAGCACTGAATTCTCATTCAACTGCTACGGTTGATACCGGGACGGACAATACTTGTCTTGCTAGCATTCTGAGACATGGGAGCATGTGTTCGTTCCGCTTCCACCATCCGAGGACGTCAAACTCCACGTCGTCGTCGTCGTAATCGCATGGCACCCCTTGGTACATAGCAAGTTCGTTGTGCGAGCTTACTGTTGTACCACTTGAACTCCCATAAGGCTGAGCACGCTTCCCTTTCTTTGCAAGAAGCCCACCGACTATTCATTTAAACCTTTTTTTGATTTGGGGGGCGGAGGAGGTGCTGTTTCTTCTGGTACAGTACCGTATAACCCTTGATATTCCTTAAACAAATTCTCAAAAAGAGTTATAGCATTATCTCTTTCATTTTAAATCCCACTTTTTCAGAAAACATGTATGGCAAATTTTCTTCACAAATCATTTCGGCCATTTTTTGCTTATTTTGCTCGTCGCTATAAGAAAAAAGGCCGCCCTTACCCCTGTTAGCAAACCGAGAAATTTGGGTTTGCACTTTTTGTCGTCCCTTTTTTTTCGCCGCGTATTTGGCGTACTCCACGGGATGCCTCGACCTTAGTTGTTTTTCCAGACTACCATAACCGCCGGAAACTCCCATTTTAATGACGACCCCACAATACTTACAAGTTCCATAAACTATGCCATCTTTTGTTTCTTTTTCAAAATGATAAATAAATAAATCTAATTTTAATTTTTTTACCTTTGTCCGAACCTCGAGAGGTCTCGGGCTCCTGGCTCTATGTCGACATTGTTGCTGTGCGGTGTAGGCTCCTCGTCCCCGTCCAGATTATCCAATCCTGCTTCATCAACATCCTCGAATAGACTATCAAGAGTGGGGAGATTCGCGTCCCCTCTACTAGAATTAATCTGGTCGAATTCTTCATCCGTCATGCCGTCCCCGATGAATTGATCGGGGATAGTAGGAAAGGAAGAGACGGAGTGTCTTCCTCGAGAACCGCGTGAGGTCGAACCGTCGGAGGTGGCTTTAGCTTTGCCTTTCCTCAAACTTCGGTTCACGGCGCCCATATCCACGGACTACCGGACTCTCTCGACATTTTAATATATATTTTTTTATAAAAAGGACTATATTAAATATTTAAAATATTAATTATATATTAAATTTCGAAATTATAATATTAATTTATAATAAATTAATAATATAATATGTTAGTGAATAATAATATATCAATATATATTTATATTATTATATGAATATAAATTGTATAAAGATTAAAAAAGAGATAATAAGAATTAATAGATAATTAGAGAGGAAATGAGGAATATATTGAAAAATGAGAGATAGAGAATATTTGAGATTTGAGAAATAGAGAGTTGAGATTTGAGAGAGGAGAGTGTGTGATTTTTTTTTTTAAAAAAATGAATATATTTATAGTAGGAATCCCTCCCCCATCCCCTTCCCCTCAACAGCTACGTAGCCGTTTGAGGGGTCCCTCCCCCTTAACCTACCCCTCTAGTTATTTTTTTTGCAGGTGAGTGGCCCCTTTAATCACCTGTTCCTCCTGTTGGAGTCCCCCCTTTAATCAAATGTTCCTTTTTTTGTAGGTGGTGGGCCGGACATGTTGCAGGCGTGCAGGAAAAAAAAACAAATTCACTGTACCGGTACCGTACCGGTACCGACAGTTCCGGGACGAAAATTTGGGAACCGGTACCGGTACCGGTTGGGGCGGTTCCGGTATCGGTTCGCGGCACCGGTGTTACGTACTGTGCAACGGTGACGGTAGATGGTACCGGCGGTACTGTTGCCGGTAACGGTACCGTACCGGTAACGTGTCCAGCCCTAACCCCGACTAGGACCAAATTAGTCTCAATCAGAGAGAGTCATGTAAAGGACTTCCTAATCGCTGTCTAGTGCACTACCGAGGATTCGCCGATCACAACATCATCAAGTTTGGCAGCATCCCCCACTCCTTCTTCTTCTTCTTCTTCTTCTTCTTCTTCTATATAAGCATCCACAACTCACTCCATTTCTCACCAAATCATTTAATTCTTTCTGTTATTTTGTTCTTTGTTGAGGGAGTGCAGTGGTGCTGTCAATTCAACTTGGTGAGAAGTCGCCGGAGTTGGGAGTAAATCATCGCCAGAGGTTTCGCCAAAAAATTTCCAAAACCTCCTTTTGAGCTCAAGGTAAGCCCTTTGATATATCTAGCGATTGGAATGTTCATATAGATCGTTTCCATGTTCATAAACAGTCGTTTGGCTGAGTTTTGTGTTTGACATGTTTGAAGAACCAAGAATCATAAAACTTGAAATTGTTGTTAAAACTATAAACTAATGATACCAAAATGATCTATAAACCTTGGAGAACATTTCTATATAGTTTAATTGATGTTTGGTGACTAAAAATGGTGTTTTTGAAAATTGGCTTGAGGTTGAAGATGACATTGTTCAAAACTACGCGCAGTACGGTAGCATGCTACCGTCTAGATGGTACCATGGTACCGGTTGTACGATAGGCCATACCGTCGGGACAGTAGGCTAGCTACCATCTTTCTTAATAAAATATCCTCCTCTGGCGGTACCTGATGCAAAACGGTACCCCCTACCGTCTGTGTGGTACCGAAGTACCGTCTGACCTGAGAAAATTTCAGAAACCCGGTTTTTAAAATATTAAATCCTATTTTTGATATCAATCAATTATGATCAATATGAAAATAATTTCTGGAAATAAATATGATGTTTTTATAAAACTACGAGTTTTGTCTAATGCATGCTGGTAAGCTAGAGTATTAACATTCAATGCTAGACCACTGGTTGTTGTTTGAATATTGTGATGATTTTTATTGAATGTTGATAATGATGAAAACTTAATGTATATTCGGATTCAATTGATGACTATGAATTATTGAACCGTCATTCAAACAAATCGATTAATGAGAAATGATATGTATTGTTAAGGATATCTAGAAGACTTCTGAGATAGACCTCAAGTTAAGAATGGGCCTTGCGAGTATATATATATGAATATTTGGTGGCATGGGTAAAAACGTACGTACGGGATCCGTAAACCAAACAAGAGGATCACTCGTTTTGGGATACCACCCAACCCGACAATGAGCATTCCGTTGTTCAGGTTTCTTGTGTACCTTAAGCTATGACTAGTTTAATAATTGGAAAATCTTTTTGGAAATTGTACCTTAAACTGGATTAGCTTAAGAGTTGGTTAGGAGCACCTCAAACTAGAATATAGTTTAAGAGTTGGTTATAAATAGCTTAAACTAGAACTAGTTTAAGAGTTGGTAAATATCAAGAAATTGGCCTTAGACTAAGAATAGTTTGAGAGCATTATTGAATATGAATGTTGAATATTAAATGTTGAATCCCTGAATTGAATATTATGTGCATGATATCAAATGATTTGATTATGAATTGAGATTCAAGTTGTTTGCATGTTCGATGCATTAGATATCCTTACTCAGCTTCACCACTGAACGTGTAGTATGTTTTATTTGCTACACGTAGAAAAACAGAAAGAATGATGTGACATGATCCTGACGGCAGATGGGGCGAGATGGTTGGGATGAATGTGTGAAGTTGAATTATTGTTTCTAAAAGACATAATATTATTATGTTTTTAATTGTGATTTATTAAGCTTCCGCAACTTTAAATATTCTGTTATAATTCAAAATAATTAATTATTAAATAAAATTTGAAATGTTTCCAAATTATACTTTAGTCCGAAAGACCTGAACGGATTAGGTGTTACAATTTTTTTATATTTTAAATTTTTGAACTTTTTTTTTATTTTTTTAAAACTTTTTTTGTTTTTTAAAATTATCATTTTTTGTATGAATTTCAAAAAATTGTAATTAATTTTTATTTTTAGAAAATAAGTGTTATTGATTACATGTGACTGATTTTCATTGCATAAGTTGAGCTGGGAGTATTAAGATTGAATATGTGATTTCAAAGACATCCTTATATATTTTCCGCACTTTTTGTGAGGCCCAATAGTGAAGTCTAGAGTTGGGAATTTAATTGTTTCTGTCACTCTCTTAAAACTTTTATTAAAGATCAATGTTCTAAATATCAATCCGGACGTTGATCCGGACGAATTGAAGGACTGTGTCAAGAGCTAACCAGTCAAATCAAGGTCAACTCGCCTCATCGACCTAGTCAAAATATCTGTACATATTCCAAGTAGTTAATTTATTTTTAAAAACTCATACTATGTAATATTTCAAATTTATGTTTAATTGATTGAAATGAGAAAAAAATACAAGAAAAAATAATTAAATTCTAGCTTATTAAACTTTAATTAGTAAATACTTAGGGTACTATTTGATTTTTAAAGACACCAATGAACTTTCAAGTATAAATGATTCATGTTTATTTTTATATAAAAAATAAATAATGCTTATTTTTTTCTTCAAAGAGTAAGTCTAAAATGACACCAGTGTTACTGATATCATTTGCTTACACCAGTTAGTTTGGGGTACCTACGATTTCCCGCTTATAAAAATGACGGTTCCTACCCACTAACCATCCCCCTAAACCCGCCACCCCAACCCCCTCCCGCCCCCTCTATACCCTGGCAGCATGCTACCTGGCACCGTAGGTGGGATGGGGAGGGGGGCAGGGATGAGGCCGGGGTAGAGGGTTTAGCGGGAGGGTTAGGAGGTAGGAACTGTTATTTTTACAAACGGGGCACCATATGTACTCCAAACTAATAGGTGTTAGCAACTCGTGTATAAATAACTGGTGTTATTTTAGACGCTCCATTCTTTCAGATACTCCGTATTTCAAAAAGTTTATGAAATAAGTATTACGAAGTGCATAACACAATCTTTTTTCTATAAAATTATTAAGAATTCAATTACAATAAACAATAAATGATACTAGATATATACAACGTTGCATAGCAATATTTATAAATGGCATCTTTGTTCAATTGGTTGAGGTGTTTGTACCAAAGTTTTTGGTATGTGAAACGAGTTTCTATATTAGACCGGACTAGAAAGGGCACGATCTGACAAGTGGTTTTCTAGATTTCAATTTAAACAAGTTTCTATATTAGATCAGATTGGAAAGGGTCACGATCTAACCGGTTAGACCGGACAATTCAATTCGAGTCTGATAACATTGTTATAGTTTCGCTAAAGTTGTTCTCAAACAAGTAGACCTAGCAAAAAATGACATGTCCTGTTTTTGACTCGAGACCTGATCCGAATACTGGATTTTGAACAAAAGTTTTGCTGACCGAACTCAAAAGTACCCATTAAAAATGGGTCAAACCCGACCGAACCCGAACCGACCTGAACAACCCGCTGATGTAAGAGTTTTTCAAAATTATATGCTTTAATATGTAATATAATGTTATATAAATAAGATTTTAATTATATTTCATTACTTACTACTCGTTTTTAATGTATAAATTTATATTTTCATACAATATTTTAATGATATCGCATAACTATCTGTTGGGAAATAACCCTCCTACATGGAGGAAGTGTCCAATTTTAATTGGACAATACTTTACATATATCTTTTGTATTTGGGCTTCTTTTATGTGTAAAGCTTTAGCCCATTTGTTTTGGTGGCCCATTTATCTCCTTTATGTGGCTAGTAACTAAAAGGAAGATAAGAAAAAAAAAAAAAGAAGAGGTGAAGGAGGCAGTAGCTATACGCAGGAAAGAGGGAGAAAAACAGATTTCTCGCCACACAGTGCAGTAGCCACTTTTCACCTCCGGATCGAAGGCCAAACGAAGTCTGATCGTGCTCAAATTTTAGTATGTTGTTCCTCACACACTCCTATTCATATCCAACGGTCAGTTTCTCGTTTTGATGCCCGGAAGGCTGTTTTCTGGCTGCGTTTTCAGACCTGCGTTTTTTGGGAGTTTTTACTCCATTTTTGGTGAATTGTTGATTGTTGTTGTGCCAAGGTTGTTCCTTGATGATTGTGTGTGCCTCTAGTGTTTACTAGAGAGGAGAACTTGTTGTACCCACTTGTTTCTTGGTGATTAGTGGAAGTTTGGGAGCCGTTGTTGAGCGGCCGTGGTTTTCTCCCCGATTTGGGATTTCCACGTAAATCGTGTGTCATCTACTTTATTATCGCTGCCATTTATTTGTGTGCGTGCTGCTGATTTTTCAGAGTTCATTGTGCTTGTTATTCATCTCATTAATTTGGGGAAAAGATTTTATTCGCTTCCGTTGTGTTTTGTTCCGTGCTTCCCCAACAAAGTGGTATCAGAGCTTGATTATTTTTGGTTGGCTTCTTGTGTTGTTTATGATGGATGACAAAGTAATTGTTCAAGGAATGGTTAGTTTGGACTCTACGAATTATTCAATTTGGAAAATTCGTATTGAGGATTATTTATGCTCTAAAGATTTGCTTGACCCAATTTTGTATA